AGGCAAGTAGCTTTCTGGGTCCACCTGCAAAGAGGCTTGTTGGTTTTGCAGACTTTGCCATCCCCTCCTTGCAGAAAGAAAAGAAAAATTAAACATCTCCAAGAAAAGACCAAGTCTTCTTGGACCTTAAAAGACTCCATATGTTTATTATGGCACTTTGTCAGTCTTTAAGATGACCAAAGACTCATCGTTTTTCTTTCTTTCACTTCTGTATATCGATCTGGTTATGTGCCATTGAATGTGGAAAACTTACATTTATATATTTGCCTCCTCAGTTTTAACTTCTTCTGGAATATCCCTGTAATAGGTGAACTGGGAAATTAATGGTCATAGCAATTAGAAATCTCTTTCCCTCCATGGATCTGGTTGCCAGTGGAGTTCTCTGCTCTTCTTATTAATATGAAGTCTCTAATTTTTCTAAATAGGTTACTAAAATAACCTTTGCATGTTGTGTGTGTAAAAAAGGGGGACAGGTTTGATGAATGTTCAAGGAATCGGTTCTCGAAGGTCTTTTCTAGCTAATTATAGACAGCAGGTTCAGCTTTGAACTGCAGGTGTTCGGAATAAATGTCCCTGTCTCATTTTTTTACACCGTTAATGCAGGTTTTGAATGGCTGAAACTTACAAGAGTTTCTAAAGCTGCTTTGGAGTTGTGTTTTCGGTAACATCTGGCTGAGTGTGAACAAGAAATATGGAGAATCATTTCCTCCCTCTCTCTAGTAGACACCTGTTTTTCAGTTATGGGATTTGGGGAGTATATAAAGATTTGGATTTTTTACAAAGTTAGTTTCCAGTTAAAAGGAACTTCAGTCCTCCTGGGGTAAGGTGGAAGAAGAGAAGTAATCTTTGGGTGGAAAGCAAGTCACAACATAGGTGATAGATGCAAATCAAGCCTGTCCTGGTGGACTTATCTCTGTTGTTCAGGGGAAGGGCAGGAAAGTGACAAACTTAAGAAACTGATAAAGAAAGAAAGAAAGAAAGAAAGAAAGAAAGAAAGAAAGAAAGAAAAGCTTTCTTGAAACCCCCAGAGGTTGTCCTTTGAATCTAGCTATGGAAAAATTGTCTCTGTGAGCCAGTGTGGTGTTGTGGTTTGAGCATTAGACTATGAATCTGGAGACCAAGGTTTGAATCTCCTCTTGGCCACGGACACCCACTGAGTGCCCTTGGTCAAGTCACACTCTCTCAGCCTCAGGAAGGCAAAGGCACCCCCCTCTGAACAAACCTTGCCAAGAAAAACCTGTGATAGGTTCGCATCAAGATTGCCATAAGTCAGAATTGACTTGAAGTCAATCAACAACAAAACTATATTTAAATAACTTTTCTTTTACTCCATAAGACACTATATTTAAGTACGTTTTTAAATTCATTCCCATTTATCCAGTGGTGAAAATGCACCATTAGAATTAATGTGAATTCTAATAACAAGCCTGATGCCAATGTTTTTGTTTTCTCTTCCATCTACAGGGTGTGGCTATGACCCTTACAACCCAGAACTCCCTAAGCCAGTGGCCCAGAGCAGCAATGGTCCCTTGGAGGAGATCCCTGAACCAGCGGCTGGCATTCTGGAACTTGAACTGGTCAACAAAGCTATCGAAGCAGCAAAGGACGAATATGAGCGTGACAGGAAAAAGTATGAGGAGCTGTTGGAGACAACGAAAGAGTACAGCTCATCAGGGACCCCATCGCTTTCCTCTGAGGCTGATGAGTTAGCCACATCCAACACATTCCCTTCTCTGGAGTATACCCCAGGGAACTACGATGCCTGTTGTAGCACTGACTACAACCCTACCCCTCTTACTGTTGCTTCTGTTAGTACATCTAACAAATACACTTTGGATTCTTTCGGTCCTACGAAGTCTAAAAGCAGCTCGCTGGAATATGTGCCCACTGTAGTCTCCCAGCCCAAGAAATATAGCACTCCCTCCGGAAACAGCAAATATGTCATTGACAACTCCAAGCCCTCAACGGATTTGGAGTATGACCCACTTTCTAATTACTCTGCCAGGCTCTTGAGCAAAGCCAAAGAGCAGAAGGGGACCAAGCGCAAAAGAGGGGCTGACCATGGGGAGGCCTATTCCCCCTCGCTCAAGAAATTCTGCGACTCGGCTAGCGTCCCTGAACTGGTGGCCAGGTTCTCGGACTCGGAAGAAGAATGTGAAGCGGCCTGCGTCTCCCCTCCAAAATCGAACTGCGGTACGGAAAGCAAGCCCCTGGAGAAGTTGGGAGCCAAAGAGAAAGGAACCCAGCAAGCAGGCACTGGTTCACGGGAGATGAAAGAGACAGCTGTGCAGTATGACATGGAGGACATTGAGAACCCTCTGGCAGCCCTCGTCGGAAAGTCCCCAGAAGAGGACCGCCCTAAGATGTCCAAAGCACCTTCTGGCGAGGGTGGAAAAGAGGAGGAGAAGGGCAAAGGGGTGCCAAAGGACAAACTGAAGAAGAAAATGGCAGAGGGCCATAAAACAGAAAGAAAGAAAGACCATGGCAAAGTTACCCACAAGGAGAAGGTGGAGGCAAAGGCAAACCACAGAAACGGGGAGAGGGTTAAAGAGAAACACAGCAAGTGCCATGCCAATAGGCAGAACAAGAAACATGTCAAACTGAAATCGCCTGGAGAGGTCAAGGGTAAGGAGGAGAAGCTGGTCAAGAACAAAAAAACAGGCAAAAGTTCAGGTGTTGATAAAGTGGAAGGTGGTAAAAAAGCAAGCAAGCCCAAGCCTGCTGATCTGAAAAGGAAGGCAGAGTCATCTAAGACAGAACAGAAAGATGAGAAAGGGAAGCAACCTTCTTCTGAGAAGCCGAAAGCGAGGCTGGCAAACTCAGGGGCCAAATGCAAGGGTAAACAGCGGACCCTGAGCCACGTTGACCTCTTTGGGGATGAGAGTGGGGATGAGGGGCAGGATGCTCAGCCCCCTCCCATTGTGTTTCCCGATGTGAGTTCGGACTCGGACAGGGACGATGGCTGTTCCCCTTTGTCCCAAGATAATGGGGTGGTGGGCACCAAGTTGTCCAAGGCACCCCCTTCATCCTCCTCATCGTCGTCATCCTCTTCTTCTGATGAGGTTGATTACTCTGTCCTCGAGAGGGATCTGGACTTTGAGTCTGACCCGATGGAGGAGTGCCTTCGGATTTTTAATGAATCCACCGACATCAAAATGGAAGACAAAGGACGGCTTGGCAAACAGGTGAAGGGGTGTGTGTGTGTCTGCTTAAGCGAACATGGCATGGGAATTCCTAGCTGTACAGCCCAGTTTCATGTGTGACAGTTCATTCAAGTGGTAGACAAAGCAATTGGGGCCCTAGAGACAATTTTTGGGGCCCTCACTTCCCTAAACCATCCTTCTGGCCAAATTTGCTTACCCTGAAGGCTCAAATACACACGCATGCCTTTTCAAAACCAAAAGTAGATTTCTGGCAGCTTCATTACCAACTTGAGCTATGCAGAGCTGCATTCACAGCAGATCTTTGACTTGTCTACTTTGTGCTTTGAACTGTAAAGACTTTTAAAGTCCTTACTGAGTTTTAAACAGCAGTGGTGGACAAAAGTAAGGTTACTTTTGGGCTAGACGCTGACCACTCCAAAATATAGATCAGCGATGTGACTTAATTGACTTAACTGTAACTAAGGCAGAAGGATGCATGTCTGTTGGACTTTTCAGTGTTAACTGGGTTTCTGACCCTCCTGAAACAGCCTCTCACCCATGGCTCAGATAGGTGCTGGTTGGTTTTGGTTGCACACCTGTGTGCACCTTGGTTTTCCTCTGCTATTTAGTGGTTGCACCTTTTGTGGCTTGATTATTGTGGAATGAGTCTCTTTAAAATAAACACACCTTGGGGTTAAAAAAAAGCCACATTGCCCTTTTGGCAGATGTGCTCTTCATTCTCTCTCTTTGTTTCCTCTTCAGCCATCAAAAGAGGAAGGGGTCGAGGCAAAGATAATAGATGGCCAATTAACCACACTCTTTCCTGGCCAGAAAAGAAGGATCTCTCATGTTGCGAAGCAAGAAAATGTAAGTGGGTTTGGAGCCCTGCCAAAGGGTGTATCCATTGGGTTGGGGTTGGTGATGGGTGCTGAGGTCCAATCTTCCTCCATCTATCATCATGAGGGTTTGGACATATCCACAGATCTCATCTGGGAGTATGGGTGGAAAGGGCTGAGAATGTTATTTATGAGACAGGCATGGGGTAGAAGCTTTAAAACTAAGGGAAGAAAATGATATTTCATGGTTATTGCTGTGTGCTTTGAAGTAGTTTCAAAGCGACCCTATCACAGGGTTTTCTTGACATGATTTGTTCAAAGGAGGTTTACCCTGGCTTTCCTCTGAGGCTGAGAGAGTGTGACTTGCTCAAAGTTACCCAGTGCATTTTCATGGGTGAGCAGGGATATGAACCCTGGTCTCCAGAGTTGTAGTCCAACATTCAAACCACTATATCACACTGGCTCTCCTATCTTTAACAGAGGAGCCTCAGTTAAGGCAAGGTGTGAAGAGTAGATACTGAGGAGGTTTCTCCCTCTCTCATAATACTAGAACCCACTGGGGTCATCCTCTGAGCCTGAATGATGAGTGAGTCAGGAGAGATAAACAGAAGGACCTTTTCAGCACAGGGCACAGTTAAAGAGTTATATAAGTTCTGGGATATAAAGAGTTTTATAAGTTGTAGCAATATCTGCAAAGCTGGGCAACTTTTTATTTATTTATTTGTTTATTCAGTTTATATCCTGCCTTTCTCCCAGAATTAAAACAAACTACATTCTAAAACCTATTTGATACAAAAGTTTAAAAACCATTAAACAAACAATCCTATTGAAAGCAAAATTGAAACAGTTTAAAAACACAATGAAATATAGTAAAAAGGGCAAAAGCATAGTACAGTAGGCCCTTCTGCCATAGTGAATTAAGAATTGAAGGCCTGTCTAAACAGAAAGTTCTTTGCTGGTGAAAAGGCAGTGGAGAGGGGGACAACTGAGTTTCCTGTGGCAAGGAGTTCCACAACTTGGGAGCATGGTGACATGGTATGAGTGTTGGACTAGGACTCCGGGAGACCAGGGTTCAAATCCCTTCTGAGCTACAGAAACCGCAGGGTGACTTTGGGCAGTGCTCTCTCAGAGCCACAGTGAACCTTCTCTGACCCAGTCTTGCCAAGAAAATCTCATGATTGATTCACTCTGGGATCTCTGTAAGTCAGAAATGCTTTGAACATGCAGAACACTAAAAAGTTCAAGAAAATGTATGTCAGAAGTTGTAATGGCTTCATGTTTTTGCAAGGTGTCTGTGGACACGTTTGTTTGCCTCATCCTGGCCATGTGCTTGTTATTTCAATAAGCAAGGCCTGTGGTCAACACAGTGTGCCTTCCACCTGACTGCACATCTTCCACTCGCCGATCCATTAGGGCTGCTGTCCACTGCAACCCAGAATGAGATAAGATGCTCTCAGGTGAAGTGGTTTGGAAAGAGCCCATAACTCAAATATTTGCAGGTTTTTAGCACTAATGCTGAGCTGCTTTGTTGAAGGAATTTGTGCTTCAGATGGGGATAGATAAAGATGTCAACGCCAGGAAAAGAAAACCAGAATTTGTTTTAAAATGTTTGCTTTCTGAAACGATTTTCCCCTGGAAACAGTGCTGTCAAGTCAGTATGCCAAATCTTTGACTCTACCCCAGCTCTATTACTTTTCTACTGTCTTGATTCCCAACTCCTTTAAATATGGCAAAGATCTCATAATTAGAAATAGCAGTTTTTCAGAAGATGTCTATTCCCCCTAAGCCAAAACAAGAAAAAATATTGAATCTAGAAATCTAGAAATTTTGCATCTCTAAGGAGGAATGTAATGACTTTAGCTTCTGCCTGTCATACAAGGCAGGATGAAGGTGTAGGGTACCACTCCAATATGAGTGGTGCTGGAGTTCTCTCATAAGACAGTGGGAATGAAAGGGCTGGCATGCACAAAGGGAGAATTGTGTACTTCAAAGAGCCCTTTGGGTTTAGCATAGGAGAGAACCAGGATGGAGTTGTGTCCCACCCCCCGGGATGCTTGGCTTCATCCTTTTTTTTTTTTTTTTTTTGTGCCCATCATTTTTGTTGCTGATCTTGGTGCCCAATTCTAACCTTTCTCAGCACTAACCTGCCCACTGCTTTCCTTGCACAGGCTGAAGCCCCGAGCAAGCCAGTGATCCGCCCGTACCGACCCCCCACAGCTCAGGAAGTTTGCTACCAGAGGATCAAACAAGCTCAGAAACAGGCCATGCAACTAGCCCAGCAGCAACAACAGCAAGCGAGCCTCCGACAGTTGCCTTCGACTCCCCAGAGAAGCCCTTCTCTTGGGATGCACAAAGGGGAGAAGAAACGGATTGCCCACGTGCCTAATACAATTACTCCCATGGTGGCCAAGTCTGGTAAGTCAGCAGTTCTGCTTCTGTCCTTTTTTCAGTTAGGGAAACTGCCGGAGTTGGTTAGATGTGGGTGCTAATCATGATCTGGTAGTATTTTTCATTATGGCTAATTAATTGGCGTTCACAGATTTGCCCAGCTTGTAATGATCAGCTGTATTTATTATGAGCTGAGCATTGCTTTCCTCTATGGAACTTCTTCAATTCAGAATAGAGCACTTACACTGTTCTGAAAGCTTAGAGCAAGCTCTTGGATTTAGGCTCCATTTTCAATTTTTTTGTTCTGCTCTGCCTGTGTTCCTTCAGCCCAGGGAAATCTCAAGAAAACTCTTCTGCCTGGGAGCACCATATCTTCCAACAGTGCCGACACTGTGTCATTGAAAGCTCGTACACTTGCTGGCATGGCATCCAAGACAACATCCACAAACACCCCCAAAAGGATTGCTCATGCTCCCACGCTGCAGGTATATTATTTATTGAAAACATGATTGCTTTTATTATCAGCAGGGTCTAAAAGCAATGCAGAGTAAATAGATTCTTTAAAAACATACTTAAATCAATTTGGGGCAAGAAACAGGTTTGAACCCAGTTTGCAACAGGTTTTTTTTTTTTTTTTGGTTTTTTTTGGAGGGGGAGAAGAGATAACCAGGCCCTTTCCCATTTCTGATTCAAAATAGAGGAGTCCCTGCAGTGACACAGTTTCTCAAGCATCCCATTTCTCTCCCCCTTCTGTCTCCAGAGTGCAACCTTAAAAAGGCCGGTCATTCCCACTGAGTTTGGTGCAAAAGTCCCAACCAACATCCGGCAGAGGTACCTCAACCTCTTCATCGATGAGTGCCTGAAGTCGTGCACCTCACAGCAGGAAGCATTTGACAAGGTTTGTGTCTGAAGAGGGTGAGAGATGTTTTTTGGGGTGGTTTGTAGGGCAGAGAATTCTAAATTGGAAAGAAACGTTCACAGGTTAGAAAATTGCTTTTTAACAGTAATGCATTCCTAGTTACCCAAAGACTTTTCTCCCTAAGAGGGAGCCAGCATGGTGTAGAGGTTTGAGCGTTGGACTAGGACTCTGGATACCATGGTTTGAATTACCACTCAGCCATGGAAACCCTCTGGGTGACCTGGAGCAAGTCTTGCCAAGAAAATCCCATGATCAGTTTGCCTTAGCATTACCATTAGCTGCAAATGACTTAAAGGCACATGACAATGAAAAACGAAAAAAATGGGTTTTACCAAATAAAAGAGGAGTGTCAAAAATGAAAAATACAAACCTCTAGGCTTACAGTTTTCCTCTAAAACACACCTTATTTTTAGTCAAAGTCTTCTTTTTTTAAACTAGAAATTACCTCATAGTGACCTTGGATTTCATGTTGTGGGGTCAGGTCGCATTGTGTGGGTGAAGGAACGTTGTAGGTGATCCATTGGGAGGAGTTATTAAAGAAATCTCCAGGACAAAACCAGCAGCCTTTTCCCTAATAATTACTGGAGGGGCAATCACTGGCAAGAGGAGAAGGAGGAGACCCATGGCAGTCCCCAGTTTCTGCTCTGGGCAGAACACAAGCCTGACCTAACAACTGGGCTCATGTTTCTGCCAGGAAGCTATTGGCCCTGACTTCTGAGCTGGGCCACCAAGCTCTCTATTTTTATTGGTTGCTATAGTCAAGGGGCAAAAGCATCTGTCTGCCAAAACCCGAAGTGCTGACAGTGATGCCATTTGTAGGCCCTGTCAGAGGAGAAAGTGGCATATGAGCGGAGCACCAGCCGGAACATCTACTTGAATGTGGCCGTGAACACTCTGAAGAAGCTGAGAAGTCTGCTTCCTAGTCCCTCGCAAGATGCTCACAGTATGTACCACCTCTTTGATTTTCAACATCAAAACTTTTGCTTCATTACTGCCACAAGGTTGCAAGTTCAATACTAACCAGGGCTCAGGCTTGACTCAGGCCTGCATCCTTCCGAGGTCAGTAAAATGAGTATCCAGCTGTTAGGGGGCAATGAGCTTACAGTTGTAAACCATTTAAACACTGTATAGTGCGATATGATGTGGTATATAAATGAAGCTGCTTTACTTTGCTCTTACCTCCCAAATCTGCATTCTCCGGCCTTTTGAGTGTATAAGTAACAAAGTTTGCCTGGCCTAAAAGCTTGTATCTCCCTATAACCTTTTAAATTGACTTTGTTTGGGAGCTGCCTTGGATTTCATTCTGCGAGAAAGGTGGCATACAAATGAAATACATACAGACACCACAGCACACCACAAAGTGTGTGACTTGGTTTTGGATGCAATCCCAGGGGTGTTTTTTCAGCTTAAAGCTCTAGAAGATGAAAGCGCAGTGTGTTAGTTTCAAAATGCTTAAGTACAAACCTGCTCATTTCCAGCACTTCGATAGCATGCTTGTTAACATACCCCGTTTGTGCCTATCTTTCCCCTCCAGAGACCAGCAACCGAAAAGTGGTTTCTCATGAAGCCATGCTAGGAGGGAAGTTGGCAGCTAAGACAAGCTTCTCCTTTAACCGCTCTACACCTTTGCGGGTGGAAGACCTGACAGGTAAGGCCCTTTTCAAGTCAAGTGTGTGGTTGCTTCTGGGGCAGTTTTCCTCTTTGCCTACTTCCTTCCACTTTCCCCAATATTGTCTTTCCTAATGAGCCATGTTGTCTCATGATATGTCCAAAGTATGATAGCCTCAATTTGATCATTTTTGGCTTCTAAGGAGAAGGCAAGCTTGATTTGCTCTTGGATATTGATTTGTCTTTTTGGTGGTCTGTGGTGTCCATAAAATTCTGCTCCAGCACTACATTGCCAATGATGTTTTTCTTCACAGAAAGGTCTCAGGAAGCCAGACTTCTTTCTTTTTGAATCTGTGCAATTTTCCTCCCCAGCAAAACCATTCTATATAATTCCCTAGCACCCAAAACCTTGTGCCATTATTGTGCTTCACCAGAAGAGTCACTGACGATTATGTGATGTAAACAAAGAAATATTTTCTAGCCTTTTTCATCCCCAGGGCCCAACTTGTACCGAAGACTCAAGGAGTACCTCATGACAGAGGATGACCTGAAATTGCATGGCTACCCCTTGTCGTGTCCTGAGAAACCAGGCCGTGCCATTGTCTTTGCTGTGGAAGAGAAGAAAACTCCTGAGAGTGAGTTCTGCTGGAGCTGGGCCACAAAAGGTGGAGGGAGCACAGGGAGGTTTGGGCTTTTGAGTAACTGATGCTTATCCCAGGGATTGCTTATCTCCAATTGTTTTTCTCCTGTTTGGTTTGTAACATCTGGCCTGATGAAGAAGCCCATGGAGCTTTGAAGGCTTGCAACAAGTATATTATGCATTTTGGTTGGCCAATAAAGGTATCACTGATGGATTTTTGTTTGAATTTGCTAAATGGCCAACACAGCTACCCCTGAATGTTATCCCAGGGTGTGTGTGGTGGATGTGGCATAGAACCATGGAATCACAGAGTTGGAAGGGCCACCTAGTCCTACCCCCTGCCATGTGGTAAATACACAGCTACAGCACTTCTAAAATATGTCCATCCAACCTCTGTTTAAAGACCTCCAAAGATGGAGAGTCCATCACTCTCTGAGGCATTCCATTCTACTGTCAAACCACTCTTACAGCAAAAAAGAAAAAAGGCTTTCCTTGTGTCTAAATGGAATCTTTTTTATTATCATGTGAACCCATTA